TACCTAAACATAAACACGCACAAAAAACAAAACAAATCAAAGAACACATCGCAATTATTCGATTACTATTATAACACACAAATCAACCTTAACAGCACACCACAACCTTATCGCATTCTATTCTCTACAAACTAGATTTGCATTTCAAATTTTGCACCAATCAAAATCCCATCAAGATATGACGACGTCAGTCTCATCTCTATATGATATGGCAATGGGGCCATCCATCTTTCCACCTGAGATGAGGCCGTCAACAGGTCATACACACCTCGAACCTCACCAATTCGCATTCTAATTTGACAAAATTTTGACTGGTACTCATTTGTTTACTAGATATACGAACGATTAGAATCAAATTATCAATCAAATCAACAAAACAACGAAACTAAATGAAATACTGAAAAGGGGTGAATGAGTAACAACAGGGATTGAAAACGAAGAAATTGAATGAAGTTGTGCGCATAACGACTAGAGAAAGCATTGTTGGCCACTCTAACAATAAAGACGAGTATTATAAAGAACAGCAGAAAACCCACAGCACATCATACTGATCGCTTCTCGAACAAATTCAAAAATCAAGAAACAAAAATAGCATTATCACCATCATCAAAGAATCACTCTGCAGCGCATTTATCCAAATCATAACCAAGCAACATTACATATCGCTTCATTTCTCTAACAACAAAAAACACTATGAGCATAAAAACTTGCGCGCACACAATCATTCCGATCTGATCTGATCTCCATTCTTTTCACTTTATTCCACTCGCTGCTAATCATCTGATACTCGACAGAAGATTCAACTTCGATCGAGCGGTCTTCTGATGTCCAGACTTGCTGAACACATGCCAGAATCGCAGCGTTTCGTCGCCCGCACCCGTCACTATCGACTCGCCGTCCGGTGACATCGCCTTCAAAATGCACAAAATCAATTAAGCGAACTTAAGAAAACCATAATAATTTCACTCCATCAAAGTTTACGAATTACCGAAAAAATGCTCAAATTTCTCGCAATCAGAAAGCAAACCAAACTAAACTCTCACCAAATAAAGAACACGGTACTGATGACCCGTAAGTTTCGTGACCGGTTGAAGTGAAGGGTATTTCCAGATGATCACTTGATTGAATGAATAACCGTGTGTGGAGACCAGCTCTGAGCTATGCTTTGACCATGCCACGTTGCACACCTAATAAATCAACCAATCACACAAAATTGGCGCTTATCAGCATCACTCACATAAAATTTTGAGCGAAATAAAGATATTTCATGAAAGTGGTTGCTCACCTGACTTCCTGTATCGATGCACTGCAGTGGTTGTCCGGTTAGGGTGTTCCAGAAACGTAGACAACGATCCGCCGTTCCGCCTCCCGAAACCAGTAGACCGTGGTGATGCGGTGACCATGCTAATGCTTTAACAGCCGCATTATGCTCCGTGTAGGTCTAAAGTACTTTCAACTCTCAACAAAGGCATCATCAAAACAATGTAAAAGTATTCACACAACACAATGAATATGTTCACACACCTGGAATGGCTCGTTCTTCCTCAGATTCCAAACCAATAACTGGTTATCGTTTCCACCAGACGCTAGATACTGTCGGTCTGGGGACCATCTTAGACCACAAACCTAAAATGATTGTACTATGCTCTAGCTGCATGTTGGCAAAGAATCGCTGATGAAATTAAGAACGCACCTCTTGTCTGTGTGCATTGAGCCTTCGTTCAGCGCACTGCGGTGGTTGTCTGATGTCTCGTTGCAGGATGAAGCGATCCCTCGACCCTGAGCAGATCAACTCCGCGTTCCACGCCAAACACCCTATCCTCGACGCATGTCCACTCAGCTCGTGCAACTTCTTCTGTGCGTGAACATCCCAGATTTGCGTTATGCCCTTATTCGTGCCCACCGCTAACAGATCACCTTTATCGGCCCATTGCACCGATGTGACCGTATCATTCTCCGCACCCAAATCGCATAGTTTCACAACCTAAACTTACCAAATTAAAACACTTAAATGTTGATAATACCGTCTCTTTAATGTGATCGTTATTTTTAAATCACCATTCTAACAGTAAGTAGAATGTAAGGATCAATTCCAAAATATAACAAAGTTACGAAATCTATGAATAAACTGTACAAAATAATGCTTTAAAAAGAGAAGATAACAAACTCACTTGACTATTGCATGCACTCCACAGGTAAACGCACGTGCTCAACCCAACCGAGAGCATATTCAGCGAGGACCAATCGACTAGATTCAGGTAGAAATCGTCTTGCAGTTCGGGTGCGTCCAGCACTTTGTACGGATTCTTTGGCACTTTCCGTTGCGGTTTTCGTGGTGACTTCAGAAGGCGTTGACTGTCGTCACTCAACGGACCACCAAAAAGACATCTTTTCGAACAGCTCGTCGATGGATCACCGTATTTGGTTGGTGTCACCTGGCTGAACTTGAACAATCCACTGCCAGGACTATCTTGCGAACGACTTATGTCTGGAGTGTCGAATTCCGACTGAAATTCAAGTTTCAATTAACTTCTCTTCACACAAGACAGAGAAGTTATACTCACCCTGACATCGTCGATGTTGTCTTTCAGCAATTCATTCCGCAGAAGTGCTCGATGCGCCGCCGAATCTGTTCGTGTCTCATCGTTACTCGTCGCCGCAGCTCCAGTGCCTGCGGATGGTGTTTGACTACCAGCACCGTTATTCACTGCCGGAGTGTTCGGTGACGGTCGACCGGATGAACCACTGCCACCACTCGCCGATGGTCGTTTGAATTGATTTGGTGCATCCGGAGATGATGTGGCTATTGAGGCAAACCTTAATCAACCAACAATAATTGTATTGCTGTAGCATTTTCAATCTTTTCGATACGATAATATCAAAACGCATGAATAATTTTTAATATGAACGAAAACAGATGAAGTGATGGTTCATACATTACGCTGGCAATCATGCGTAATCACCATTTACTTGATGATCACTCTTAGCTTCTCGGTATAATCATCACCACTTTATTCATTACAACTTTTTTCATATTTCCAAAACCATTCAAATTTCAAGCATACTCAAATATCACTGAATCTTTTTTATCATAATATTAATTTTTAAAATGGAAATGAGAACGCTTTCGATGGAAACAATCCTGCAAGTAAATGATGAAAAATAGCCAGAAAGACTCAATCACCTTGTGGCCCACTCGGTGCTATTTTGTGGCCGCAGTGGAATATAACGATCGCCACCGTCTTGACGAAATTTTGTCGGTGTTACTTGGGGTGAGCTTCCAGCCGCCTGAAAGAATAAAATTCCAAATCTACTGCTGTGAAAGTTCATACTCAAAAAAAGATCAACAGTAAAACCAAACCAAGAATAAAAATAAATTTTCGTGCTTAGGAAATAACCTGAGAGGGCATCAGTTTTTGCGGTGACGTACTCGAATTGTGTTGACCCAAAAAGCGACGTTCATAATCTGATAGTGGAATCATTTTCTGCAAAATCCCACTGAAAACTAACCCGTTGATAAATTTCAGATTTAATGAACTGCCACTTATATCCATCCACGAAAATTTAATCGGTGCACAGAGCCAATTTGCAGAGATCGGTTTTAAAGACAGACAGAGTAGGTCGGACAGGAAGGAAGGGCTGGGAACAGGCGGAAAGGTTGGGGTGGAGAGAGGAGGGATGGAAGGCGGAAGCTTTAATCAAATTCTGTTTTCGCCAACCGCATGCCAATGATCTATCTGATGCTTTTGCGAGTAATTAACACGATGACTGAATTTTAAAAATTCAATTATTCTGCACGAAACTGCATTCTCTCACCCAAAACAAACAAACAAAATAGCTAAAAGTGATACTAAACTGATACTTAATGAACAATAATTGACCGAATAATGAATGTGCTCACAAAACGCAATTAAGTTAAACGACGAAACGCGTTATTACATTAAATTTCAATCACACTCTGAAGGTTTTTTCGACCGTAAAAGCATAACACCATAAATTACGATCGCTTTTGAGCGCACCAAGCAAAAACACCAAGTAACGAAACGCAGTCAGTCGTAACAACTCCTCGTGATCACATTCAAAACATCCACAACCCTAACAGAATTAAATTAAATTAAACAGACACATCAAAACGTTATAACAAACCCTCGCCAGCAATACCACTAAACGTTATACGAGCTCTCAATGACCCGAACAACAATAGCACTACTACCAATAATAACAATCAGCACTACCCAACAATAAACAATAAGGACAAGCCGTAAGGACACAACGAATCGATCAGAAACGTTCACCTAAGAACATCATCATTAAGTATCAACTGCACACAAACCAAGCAAGTGTGGTGTACGCCCTCCGTTTTAAACTACTCACTGCTCTCAGGTGAGTGAATATACGGGGTTAACGTCTACAACGCCCCCAATCAACCACTACCCGCAATCGATGTTTCCACCAGAAATTGCTCTTATTAATGCACACGGGCTGTGCCCCCCGTTTGTTTTCGTGCAGTCGGATCGGGTTATATACTAGAGACATGTGTTATATGTGCTCTGCTATTGATTGGTGTGCTATGAAACGATAAACGCTTAGTCAGCAGCAGTAGTTTTGGCATTGTATCTCTTTCTCTAGTTCTCTATGGAACACGTTACTATCCAACATCAAACAATTCTTCATTCTCAATCGATTCACATTGCATTGAGCCTCTCATTTTCAATGGCTGATTACCGTTGAATGCATAAAATCGCACTGAAATCAGCCCGGGTATCAAGAGATTCCTGTCTCTAGAGTGCATATGTATCAAGACTTTCGCGATATCGACAAATCAATTCTTTCCCAGTACATTGTTGGAGAAAATCTCGCATGAGAGAGTGGGATTAGTCATTAGTCTCATTGACATCAGAAATCCGGGAAACAGCCTTCTACCTCGTAGCACAAAGAAACTGATTCAGATGCGGAGTAGTCTCCACGTTCACTGATTCCCTTCTAGTTGTAGGTTCACTGTTGTCTTGGTTACAATAAAGCAATATCAATCCTCTGAAATGTGCTTTTGTTGTGCCATATTAAGTATACAACTGAAACACTGCAAACAAATCCGATCGGTACGTTCACGCAAGCCACTGACCAATTTCAACAGTAAAAAAACGTCCTTAACCTCTTCATTGATCATCACTTTACACAAACTCTTCAGTGCGTCTACTTGCGGCGAGTAGTAGTATTCAGCTGATATCCGGTTCAGTGATGCACACAGATAATATCATGTTGATAAGATCAACAAACGCTCACATTCAATACACCCATTATATATCAATTAATCACTCATTATAACCTTAATTAATCATTATGATAACCTTTATACAACATCATGCCAATGTAATCCATATGTGACAGTTCGATTTGAATAACTTTATTTAATCATTATATAAGTAAATCAATCACATGAGGAGTACGGCACGATATTAAATGGATAAAGCAGCCGAAAAGACGAATCAGGCATACGTGAGCATTTATTGAGATAGTCTCAGATCCTATCTGTATGAGAAGCTAATGATCCAAGTTGGTTCGTCTCAAAAGGAAATTTCATATGAGTAATGAAGAAAGATATTCTTCTTGTTGATCACATTCAGCAAAAATGGTGATGCCATGCATATCGACGTTTAATTCTTAGACACTGATCGGATGGCACATCTATCATCCAGCTGTAGTTATCGCTCGCATTCCCTTTTCATTTCTGAAAACAATAAAAAATATGAAAAAATTTCATCATTAAAAAAAATTCATCAAAGATCACTGAAATGAACAACGAACGAGCAGTGCACCAACCGAAGCTTTTTCGAGTTCCTGTTTCGTTGCGCCTTTTGCCGTCTGCACATCCTTCTCTGGTTTTGACGCCTGTAGTATGAGAGCAGTTAAGTGCTGTACAATGCATCATAAGCAAATGACCATCAATCATAACGAATAAGTATGTCCGTGTATCACACCCCGTATTTGTTCAGTTCAGCCGTAGTTGCATGCTCAGCGGTTTTGACGTCAGACTCTTGTTTCTGAAACTTGACTGCCTCTTAAAATGTTTCATACTGAACGCAACAATGCCATTATTTAAAACGATGATAACAATAATAATACTACTAAATAATAATGATAATAATAAAAACGTAACAAACAACTCGAAAAAATGACACCGTACCGCATATCTATTGACCTCAGTAGTAGACGGATCCTGAGCGGTTTTCACATCAGATTCTGGTGCGGCGCGTTGCTGCTAAACACTTTATTGTTTAATTATCTACACTGATAATAAAAGTAACAATGAACAAACTCGCATGTGTACTCACTTCTTTACTGGTTGCTTTCTGAGCTGTCTCCACGTCACATTCAGGAGTATCGCCTTGTTTCTGAACACTCATCTTCATTATGCAATTCTATAACAACACTACAGCTCAACAAACTCTACTCGCCTTTCCATAGCACCCTTAAGGTTCAACTCGACTCGCTTTAAACTCAAAACATTCGAATATTATCCAGTTTCCACTCCACACAAGACCTTATATCAAACAAACAACCCAACCGCACTGATCAGAAAATACTGAGTAAAAGAAGACAAAACATTATCAGAGGAACAATTACTGCCTTATAGATGAAAGCCACTGCGGCCACAATGACCACTACCAGGAGCACAATCTCTATGCCCATCACACTCTATGTTCCGTAAATCACCAATAATCAATACGGATCAATCAGTATGGATCACAAGAAGCGATCACAGAAACCACCACACCACACTACAGTTAGCAACTTAATACGAATACTTGCTTTTAATTCGAATCAAACTTTTATTATAGAGCAAAAATTTTGAATTTTGCATATGCCATTTACGAAATCAACACTAAATTATAACTGTGAATATTTTATTCGACAACATTTGTTGTTTCGATTAATTCAGAGTAAATTCTTCGCACATTGTGTTGGTGGTTAATTGCGAGGGTGCTTCACGAGGGTGTTTGAAATATAATGCAAAAAATCTTAAATCATTTCAATGCAGTCATAAATTAGATCAATCAGCTGATTATTGCCTTCATTAACAATATTTGTTATAAAGGATTTTGACTGAGTTTGAAAGCATGCGCCTCATCAATGAGAAACAACTCTCTGAACCGGATCAGTGGGAAATATTCAAACTCGAATGAAACAACTGAAAATTTTCAATGACGAATCGCAACGATTTTTCCGAAACAATGATAAGTGACAATGAAGAATATCCCGTAAAACAACAACGAACATGTAGTGAATGGCAATAGATAAACGATTCAGATCGCCAAATATTATACTTGACAACCGAAACATCAAAGGCAATTGATAGATGAACCATCATTACAGCTTGAATTCTCAATAGTCTGAAAATATACGCAACAAAAGAACCTATCTTAATAAAACACTAATAGATACCCGTATACCTCTTATTATCATGGCATTAATCACATTGTAAAGGATATTCTCATGCTCACTGAATGTGATCAATTTATCGCATCGTTAATCAATCCCATGCGATTTCATAAACCAGTTTGTGACATTTCATTTTGCGCACTGAATGTTTATCGCAAACCTTCAAAGATTGCTCCAATGAGATAAGCAGATGAGAAAAATCAACAAAACGATTAATATTCTCCTATTGTCGAACAATATTCGATGCACAGCAATGCACACACACAAGAGGTTTATAAAGTTGATATTATTCATTTGATGCAAACCAAACAACTTAATAAGGGTTAATTATTACACATCTTTAAATAGTACTTGAATAGAAGCTATTCACATTCTAAAACACTCATCTAATAAAGAAACCAACCATGTCGACTGCAAAAACTTGTTAGTATGAGCAACGGATGTTGTAATATAGAATCGCTGGCTTGTTCAGGAAGGGTACAATATGATCAGTGCTGATTCGTAATTAACCACAATTTTGGTGTTCGAGTCCGTAAAGGAACATAAGACGTTCCTCTGAAACATAGCCGAGTGTCGGCGTACACATTATTTGTGACTATATAAAGCAAACGGATACAGAGCAATGTGCATATTTTTTCTTTGAATTGTACATTCTAGGAAGCAGTTGCAATTTGAAATGCTCAAATTATTTGCTGTGGCTAGTTTCGCATTGTTTGCTTCAACGTTGCTCATACTATCATCACTGCTTGCGGTGTTCATCTTATACACTCAAATAAACGCCTTCTACAGTGAGATCATCAGTGAAATCGATGAATTCAAGGCTTGTTATACCATATAATTTCTTTACAATTACTCCGTTTCTAGTGAAATTATTAGAATGATACAATTCAGGTAACAGTTCTCTTGAATAGCGAACGAAGTTCAACTTTGTAGAATGGAAACATTTGTG